TCTCTTCCAAAGCAGTCATGAGCTCAGTACTTGTCGACTCTTTTCTCTCAAGGGAGCCATCACTTTTGGAACATCAACTACCCTACTTAGTTTCCAAGTATACATCTAAGAATAGCTCTCATTCCAGCCTACTCTATTTGGACCAGGCTGGTTGGCTTGAACAAGACACTATGGCTAGAGCTAGGACAGAAAGTGCCCGTACATGCCAGGGCCATCTCTCTTTTGTCAGCCTCTTTATATGGGTCACAGTTTATAGCTGTGCAAAACTAAACGACTTGCAAGTTAACAAAAGACATACAATGCATTTTGATCCACTGCAGAAAATTCAGATTTAAAGTCTGTTTATTTAAAGTAACCTGTCTCCTGAACTAATTTCAACACAGACAGTTAGGAACTATTCTTTGCAGTTAAATCTACCTCCAGCATCTGCACTGTGTAAAATTTTGCTGAAGGGAGGGAAGGGGAAGGAAAAAAAGAAAAAAAATCCTTTATATTAAATAGCTGTATATATTTACCTAACAGTAAATCTAGAACAGTTTTAATAACATTTCTATTGCTCCTTTTGATTGCAATGAGCAGTAAATCAGTGCTCTAAATGAGCAGTGAGAAAGCCTTTAGCCACTAGATTGGTCAGCTTATTTTCAAACATTGTTCTCATAGCTTGTTAAGCATAGGGGGAAAAAAAAAAAATCATACCTGACTAAAAACGAAAGAATAAAAATCAACTTAAACAGAAACCTGCACTTCAGTCTGAACTTTTGATCTACATTCACTAGTAGAACATCTGTAGAAATTGGAAATTGCCAGACTGGAAATTAATACAGATTTTTTGACAAAAAAAAAAAAAAGATGATTAAAAAACATAAAATCAACAGTTTCATATCAATCTACTGCCCGCAAGGAATGCTGTAACACAAAAAAAAAAATCAAAACTGCAATGTAATAATACTACACAAAATACAACAATTTTTCTACGCATTATACTTACTGCTTCCACAGAGTTACATTCACGCCTTGTTTCCAAATATCGTAGTGCTCTTTTCTCTTCTTCTTTTAGTTTAGCATCTGCCTGTGCAAAAGGAGAACAGCAATCATTTTAAGTCCTAACACTTTCAGAACAAAGTTATAACCGAATTTTTACTTACATATTTCATATAATTCTGTACACCGTTTTGTTGTAAATAAGAAGGAGCTTGTGTTCTATAAAATCTCTCTGTTGAATCCAAATATGCCTTTTCAAAGTTATCCCGATATATCTGAAGTTTATCTTCAGGATTAGAACAAAGGTTAACTGCAAAGAGAAAGTCCAAACTTACTCTCAAGTCTTGGAAACTTAAGTGGTTAATAATAAGCAAGTTTCTCTCATTCAAGTGAGTCTTGTATTAAAAGGCTGCAGTGAACAATATGAAGTATCCTATAAACACACTCTGATCCCTAAAGGTAACCAAAATTGTCCAGTTCTTGCTCCAGAGACATTTAGATTAACTATAGAAAACTGCAAAGAACTGCATACCTATCTCCAACACTTCAGACATTCAAACATGGTACCCAGCAATACACATATAACAGCAAAATTGGAGAGAAAAAAAAAAAATTAAAAAAAAAAGCTTAGCATAATACCTAAACTAAAAACTTCTACACCTGAATGAGCAAACAGCTTTTCTTAGACATTGTTCTTAGAATCCAAATGTCTTCACTTTGTACTTTTTTTTTTTTTTTGGCATTTGTTGTTTTGTTTTGGTTTGTTTTTTTTTTTCCTCCCTGTTTTCTAAGAATGGAAACAGTGAGTTACTACTACCCAGCAGTGCTTTGCACTATTTGTAAAAAAGCTTCTGTCTTCCTCTCAACTGTTACAGAGAAAATAATGTCCTTAAATGGAACACACTTGAAAAAAAAAAACATTAGAACTGGACATCTACAAAGCCACCAGGGTACTAGCCAGAAGTTTAATTCAATAGGCTGGAGAGCTTTGTAGAAGAGGCAGGCAACAGTGAAATGTCATAGAAGTTTCAGATAGACAGATCTGGTTTGAAAAGAAGACAAAGACTGAGAGTCTTCAAGTTTGGCACTTCTTGAAAGTGTCCAAAGTATCAGAAAGGCTACAGAAAGGAACACAGACATAAGGTTATATCTGCAACTCTAAAAGGTCAAAAAGTAGTTTGCTCTTTAAAAACACTGATTTTGCGGTAACTGATGCATAGTTAGATCACTTGCAAATTAAAGATTTTAAACAGAATTTAATTGGTATCACATATCACCATCACATCAATACCAAAGAAATGCTGCGATAGTCATTCCAACCCTACCACCACAACTGTCAACACTGTATGATGAAACTTCATTCCCTGAAGTGAGGAGCCAACAGAGTCCAGCCTCTGCAAGACATACCGTATGATTCTCGAACTCCAATAACAAGCTGAGAGTCGAAAGCTTCTCCTAGCCTTTCGGCATGAACTAGCTTCATTGCACTGTCCTGGAGCCTATTTTTTATATTTGAAAATATGGATTCATTCCACGTATCTAGCATGAGCTGTGTATTAAGAAGAGAAAAACACCAGTCAGAAAAATACACTCAGATCTAAGTTTGTGCACAAGAAATAGATGAGATCAGAAATAGAAATCAAACAATTTACAATGTAATTTTCAGGTTATATACAGCAGCTCGACTTCCTTAGAACTTGATCTTGATCTGAACTTGTTATAGAAGTGATACTCACCTCACCTCATAAGCTTACTTCACTGAACTGGACAGCTAGGGAAGCAGTATTTGATTCATATATTAATTCCATAATTCTGTACTATTTGTACAGGTCTCAGTTATCAGTCAAAATAACTTTTCCAGCAATGCAATATGTCAGGAGTTGCAATTTTAGGGGGTACTTTTGAGCCAAACATTCAAATATAGTTCACTCCTTGGCAGGCTTGGTCTTAAATAAACCCAAAACCTCAATTAACACCACAGTCGTGTAAAGAAAAAAAATAATGGGTTTGGATTTATCTAACATGTTCAGTGTGCAAGTCACAGAATCACAGAAAGTCAGGGGTT